GCTATGACCATGTCTTTTAAAACTTTATCTGTAACAACAAAAACTGAAGTACTATTAAGTGCTTTCATTAAATTTTTTTGCGCTTTTGTTGGAAAGTTAGGTGAACGTAAATTTTTGAATAATGACGGAAAATGCCTTGGCTTGCGTAATAAGCGCCACCACGATGGATCAGGGAATTGAAAGTTATAATTTTTTATAAGATAATCAAATTGTTTTTTCATTAATTTTTTAGATTCAGATCTAGAACGAGTTAAAGCTTCAGGATTGAATTTAAAATAACTAGAAGGCATTTTTTCCAAATCAAAACCACCAAATTTAGTAATATGTCCTTTTCTAAGACGATCTAAGAAAAGATAATATTTACGATAGCGAAACCAATTTTCATAAGCTTCTCTCTTTTCTCTTGCTGTTATAATCCTGTCATAACTTTCTAAATCAATCGCATATCTATACTTCTCCGCTAAATTCTCATTTCTATTTAAAACTTTATTAATCAAATCTTCTAATTTTAGAAGAGAATAATCAACGCTATATTTTTTATCAACTAAATAATCTAACAAATCAGCCCTAGCAATATTCTTATAAGAAATATTTTGTATAGGAACTAGCTTTGAACCCAAAGAAAAATTAATCATTATTAGCAAATATTTACAGAATAATTTAAAATTTTTCAATTTAGAAATTGAACCTTTGTTTTTCATGATAATTAACCATTAATATATTTGTTGTAAAATTATAAATTAACACTATTAATTATAATATAATAATTTTCATCGTCAAATTATACCACATATTAAATGTGGTATAATTTAATGTTATTTACGAAAAAGATTTACCACATCCACAAGTTTGCTTTGCATTCGGATTTAAGAACTTAAACCCACCATCTATCAATGACGAACTATAATCTAAAGAGATTCCATATAAATATAAAATACTTTTATTATCACATACTAAAGTAAAATTATCATAATTATAAACCAGATCTTTATCGCTTATATTAGATTGTTTTTCATAATTCATAAAATAAGATAAGCCAGAACATCCACCTTGTTTAATTCCAATACGAATATATAATTTATCTTTCTTATTTAGTTTACTAATAGAGTTTAATTGCTCTAAAGCTGATTCTGTAATGTTTATAATATAAGTATTCATAATAAAATATACAACCTAAATATATTATAAAAAATAATCAATATTTTTTTTATTAAGAATTTTAATCATTTTTGTAGATATTCTTAGTTTAATCCATTTTTTTTTTAATGATGACCAAACTTTTTTTTTTTGTAAATTTACAAACTGTAATCTTTTCGATTTATGGTTGGAATGAGAAACTTGATTAGCAGTATTTGAATTTTTAAATAATAATTGACATTTTCTTGTCATTTTAATATCCATAAATAAATAAAAATTATATTATACAGTATATAATATAATCTTTAAAAATAAATAATTTCAATATAAAATCCCAAATTGAAATTTATTTAAAAACATTAAAAAAACTTATAAGTAATATAAAAAATTTTCTAATTCTTAATAAGAAAACAGATGATAAATTAAATTGTAAGTATAAAAATAATATTTCAAAAATTGAGCAGAAATATAAAATTTTTATTAATCAAATTTTAAGGAGAAAAAAATGTCTCAATCAATAGAAGAAAAATCTGTTCAAGAACGTACAAGAATTAAAAATTCTAGATATGAGTCAGGAGTAATACCATATGCCAAAATGGGATATTGGAATCCAGATTATAAAGTAAAAGATACAGATGTACTAGCATTATTTAGAGTTACCCCTCAACCTGGAGTAGATCCAATAGAAGCAGCTGCAGCTGTGGCTGGCGAATCGTCAACTGCTACATGGACAGTAGTTTGGACAGATTTATTAACAGCAGCAGATTTATATAGAGCAAAAGCTTATAAAGTAGATCAAGTACCTAATAATCCAGAACAATATTTTGCATATATTGCATATGAGCTAGACTTATTTGAAGAAGGATCAATTGCAAATTTAACTGCCTCAATAATTGGTAATGTATTTGGATTTAAAGCAGTTAAGGCTCTAAGACTTGAGGACATGAGATTACCATTAGCATATCTTAAAACTTTCCAAGGACCCGCAACTGGAGTTATTCTAGAAAGAGAAAGACTTGATAAATTTGGTAGACCTTTACTTGGTTGTACAACAAAACCAAAACTTGGATTATCAGGTAAAAACTATGGTAGAGTAGTTTATGAAGCTTTAAAGGGTGGGCTAGATTTTGTCAAAGATGATGAAAATATTAACTCTCAGCCTTTTATGCGTTGGAGAGAAAGATACTTATTTACAATGGAAGCTGTTAATAAAGCATCCTCACAAACAGGAGAAGTCAAAGGACATTATTTAAATGTAACAGCTGCAACAATGGAAGAAATGTATGCACGTGCTAATTTCGCAAAAGAATTAGGTAGTGTAATTATAATGATTGACCTTGTTATAGGCTATACTGCTATTCAAACTATGGCAAAATGGGCAAGAGATAATGATATGATCTTACATCTTCATAGAGCAGGTAATTCTACCTATTCAAGACAAAAAAATCATGGTATGAATTTTAGAGTAATTTGTAAATGGATGAGAATGGCAGGAGTAGACCATATTCATGCTGGAACTGTTGTTGGAAAACTAGAGGGAGATCCTATTATTACAAGAGGATTTTATAAAACTCTTCTTTTACCTAAACTAGAGCGTAATTTACAAGAAGGTTTATTTTTCGATATGGAATGGGCATCACTCAGAAAAGTAATGCCAGTAGCTTCTGGTGGTATTCATGCAGGACAAATGCATCAATTAATTCATTATTTAGGTGAAGATGTAGTGTTACAATTTGGTGGAGGAACAATCGGACATCCAGATGGAATACAAGCTGGTGCTACAGCAAATCGTGTTGCTTTAGAGGCAATGATATTAGCAAGAAATGAAAACCGTGATTATCTGACAGAAGGTCCTGAGATATTAAGAGAAGCAGCTAAAAGTTGTGGTCCATTAAGAACAGCATTAGATTTATGGAAGGATATTACATTCAATTATACATCAACTGATACTTCAGATTTTGTAGAAACACCAACTGCAAATATTTAAATTAAAATAATATTTTTATCTTTTTCTTTTGTATAACCAAAGGAGTATAAAACAGTGAAAATAACTCAAGGTACCTTTTCTTTTTTGCCAGAATTGACTGATGAACAGATAAAAAAGCAAATTGAATATATGATATCTAAAAAACTAGCTATAGGTATTGAATACACTAACGACATACATCCTAGAAATTCATTTTGGGAAATATGGGGATTACCTCTATTTGACGTCACAGATCCTGCTCCAGTATTATTTGAAATTAATTCTTGTCGTAAAGCAAGAAGTAATTTCTATATTAAGGTTGTTGGATTTTCTTCCGAAAGAGGTATAGAAAGTACAATAATATCATTTATTGTAAATAGACCAAAACACGAACCAGGATTTAACTTAATTAGACAAGAAGATAAAAGTCGTTCTATAAAATATACTATACAGTCCTATGAGTCATATAAACCATCGGATGAACGTTATTAAATTTAATTTATAATTAATAACAAAAATATGTTCTATTTATAAATAATATAAATAGAACATATTTTTGTTTATATACTTCAAAATAATAACTAAGAAGAAAGGAAAATTAAATATGAATGTAATAACTGAAACAAAATATAAAGAAGAAAATATTAACGACGATACTCTTATTAATATACAAGAAGAGTATAAAAAAACAAAAATTCAAGAGGTATTAAACCAGTTAGATAAAGAATTAATAGGATTAGTACCAGTAAAAAATAGAATAAAAGAAATAGCTGCTCTACTTTTAATAGATAAATTAAGAATGCAATTAAACTTACCTCAAGCAAATCCAGGTTTACACATGTCTTTTACAGGAAGTCCTGGAACTGGTAAAACAACTGTAGCAACAAAAATGGCAGATATTTTATACTTATTAGGATATATAAGAAAAGGACATTTATTAACTGTAACTAGAGATGACTTAGTAGGACAATATATAGGACACACTGCCCCCAAAACAAAAGAAGTCTTAAAACGAGCCATGGGCGGTGTTTTATTTATTGATGAAGCTTATTATTTATATAAACCTGATAATGAGAGAGATTATGGATCTGAAGCTATAGAAATTTTATTGCAAGTAATGGAAAATCAGAGAAATGACTTAGTAGTGATTTTAGCAGGATACAAGGATAAAATGGAGAGGTTTTATCAATCAAATCCAGGTTTATCTTCACGTATAACAAATCATGTAGATTTCCCTGATTATACAGCAGAAGAATTATTAGAAATTGGAATACTCATGCTAGAAGAACAACAATATCAATTAACTCAAGAAGGAAAAGAAGTCTTATTAGAATATATAAAAAGAAGAATGAATCAGCCTCATTTTGCTAATGCAAGAAGTATTAGAAATGCTATAGATAGAGCAAGAATGAGACAAGCTAACAGAATCTTTAATTCATTAAATAGGGTTTTAACTAAAAAAGATTTAGTTAGTATAGAAGCTGAAGATATACTAAAGAGTAGTTTATTTATGGATAAATAAATCATTTTCTAATATATCTTATATTATAAGAAATAAATTTATAAGGCGGTATGGCCAAGTGGTAAGGCAGAGGATTGCAAATCCTTTATCCCCAGTTCAAATCTGGGTGCCGCCTTATTCCCCATTTAATGGGGGTGTGTTGGAATGGTAGACATAACAGACTTAAAATCTGTTGATTTTCATAAATCGTGAGGGTTCAAGTCCCTCCACCCCTAATTTCATTATTATTAATCATAGTATTCAGACGTAGAATTTCAGTATTTATTTTAGATTCTCTTGTAAGAGCAATCTTACCTGTCCTAGCAATCTCACAGATGCCATATTTTTCTAATAACTTTTCAATTGCAGCCATTTTTCCCGGATCTCCTGTAATCTCTAAAATAACAAAATATTCCGATAAATCAACAACACGTGCTCTAAAAATATTAGCAATTTCTAGTACTTCATTTCTTTTATTATCCCCAGTTCTTACTTTTATTAGCATTAATTCTCTTTCAACACATGGAATATTGGTTATATCTTGAATTTTTAATACATTTACCAATTTATAAAGATGTTTCGTAATTTGTTCTATAATTCTATTATCACCTCTCACAACCATTGTAATTCTTGATATACCAGCTTTTTCAGCTGGACCAACAGCTAGGCTATCTATATTGAATCCACGTCTGGCAAATAATCCAGAAATACGAGTTAAAACACCAGATTCATCTTCTACTAAAACAGATAGTGTGTGTTTCATTATTCTTGAGTTTATTTAATTTATTTTATATTTATTATTAATGTATTAATAATTTTATAAATACTTGATAAAAAAATATTTTTTGTTTTATCAATAAAAATCTATATATTGCTATATGCTATATGATAAATTTATTATAATAAAGCAATTAAGTAATAATTTATATCAATCTAGTAAATAAAATAAAAGCTGTGTTAGAAAAATCGAAACAGAAAAATTCTTTTGATAAGAATAAATTTATTATTAATAATAAAATATCTTTCCCTACAGTACGAATAATTGATGAAAAAAACTATCAATTAGGAATTTACAAGATAGAAGAGGCTTTAAAATTAGCTGAAGAAAAAAACTTAGATCTAGTTTTAATTAATGATAAAACAGAACCCCCAGTAGTAAGAATTATAGACTATGGGAAATTTAAATTTACTCAAGAAAAAAGGTCTCGAGAAGCAAAAAAAAAACAACAGCAAGTTACAGTTAAAGAAATAAAAATGCGCTATAAAATAGAAGATCACGACTACCAAGTCAGGATCAATCAAGCAATAAAATTTTTAAAGTTAGGTAACAAAGTAAAAATTAGCTTAACTTTTAAAGGAAGAGAAATTCAATATATCGATCTTGCAGAAAAGCTAATTGAAAAAATAATTCATAATCTCTCGCATATTGCAGAACATGAAAAAGTTTTTGATAAAGAAGGGAAAAACTTATATATTATGTTATTACCAAAAAAAACATAAAATTATAATAATATAAATTATAAATAATTAACAAATTAATATGAAGATCATTTTAGAAAAAATCTGTAAATTATATAAAAAAAAATGTATATTAGATAATTTACATATTACTTTTTCACAATACGAAATTTTAGGTTTATTGGGGCCAAACGGAACAGGTAAAACTAGTATTTTTAAAATCATAACCGGTATAAGCAAGCCAGATAAAGGCAAGGTATTGCTCAATGGAGAAGATATTACTAATGTGCCCATGCATCAAAGAGCAAGATTGGGGATATGCTATCTCCCTCAAGAATCTAGCATATTCAGAAGATTAACAGTAAAGGATAATTTAAAATTAGCTTTAGAAGAACTAGATTATTCTAAAACAATAGAAAGTAATATTATAAAATCATTTACATCATACTTTCAAATAGATAAAACATTAAATACTTTTGGTTCATATATTTCTGGTGGAGAAAGAAGAAAATTAGAAATAGCAAGAGCTGTAATTATAAAACCCAAGTTTTTGCTCTTAGATGAACCTTTCGCGGGTATAGATCCCATATCTATTTCAGAGTTGCAAGAAATAATTGTAAATTTAAATAAATCCGGTATTGGAATACTAATTACAGATCATAATGTTAGAGAAACACTTAAAATAACACATAGATCGTATATTTTATCAGGTAATAATATTTTAGCATCTGGTACAACTCGACAATTAATAGAAAACAAAGCAGTTAGAGAATCTTATTTAGGTAATGATTTTACCTTATAAAAAAAATTATATTTATAATAAGAACCATTGAAAATTTTAAATAAAAAACTATATGTTTGCAATTATTGATCGTTATATTTTACAACTATTAATTGGTCCTTTTATTATTAGTACAAGCGCATTTACTTCAATTACACTTTCTGTAGGTATATTATTTGAGTTGGTTCGTAGAGTTGTAGAAGGTCTTCCCTTTAAAATAGCTGGGAAAATTTTACTTTATAAATCTCCCTATTTTATATTTTTATCATTTCCTTTAGCTTCATTATTTGCTACTTTAATAACCTTTAATCAATTAGCAAATAATAAAGAACTAATTGGATTTAGGTCATTAGGTATATCAAGTTATAAGTGGTTACGATCCACTATTGTATTTGGCATATTGATAGCTATTTCTGCTTTCTTTATAAATGACTTAATAGTGCCTGTATCAAATTATAGGGCTAATGAGTTGCTGAGAGAATCTAAAGAGAATAAATCTCTTGACAATAGAAGATTTGACATTTTATACAAAGAATACTATCAAAACCCAGAAGAAGGACTTAAACAACTTTTTTATTCCCAATCTTTTGATGGTAATTTTATGAATAATGTGTTAGTAATAAATTTTTATAAACAAAAACCGGAAATCATTATTTCTTCAGACAAAGCTGTATGGGATGAAAAGGTAAAAAATTGGATTTTTTATTTTGGAAATGTTTATCATCTTACTCCTATAGGTCATTACACATCAATTATGAATTTTAAATGTTATGAAAATAAAGACTTAAAAATATCAAAAAGACCATTAGAACTAAGCTTAAAAAAAAGAAATATAGATGTAATGAACCTGGATGAAGCAATAACATACCGTAATTTACTATTAGAAACAAATAATATAAAAGAGGCTAGAAAAGTTAGTGTTAGAATAGAACAAAGATATGCTATACCCTTTAGTTGCATTATTTTATCATTAATAGGTTGTATTTTAGGCAGTCAAATGGAGGAAACAAATAAACAAATTGCTTTTACTATTAGTGTTTTTATTATCCTTAACTATTATATAATAGCTTTTATAACAGATGCACTTGCGCAACTACTAATAATTAATGCCAAAATAGGAGCATGGTTTCCTAATATTTTTTGTTCAATAATTTTATGCATCTTATTTTTATTTTTCGAATAAACAATGCATCCGGCTGGGTTCGAACCAGCGATGTCTCGTTAGAGAAACGGATTATGAGTCCGCTGCCTTCAACCACTCGGCCACAGATGCTTATTTGGAACTGGTGGGATTCGAACCCACGTCCGTTAATCAGATATATTTTATTCATTCACAAGTTTAGTAAGTTTCACTTACTTAGAAGACAAATGAGTATTATAAATTATATAAAATTGGTTTTATCTATATAAAATTCTTTATGCTGTAAATACACAAGATCTAGAGAATTTGATAATATTGTTTGCATTTAATTTTATATTTGATTAACGAGAGTTTAATCTCTCGACTTGCATCATAAAATATATCTTAATTAGCGTCAAGACCATAGCAGTCCCTTTATCTTTATAAAAGGAAATTATAATAATTAAGGCATGAAGGGATTCGAACCCTTTACTTTCAAAATCGGAATTTGATACTCTATCCTTTGAGCTACATGCCTTTTAAAATAAATTTATAATATAAAAAATTATAAACTAATAAATTTATAATTTTTTATATTATAAATTTATTTAATTAGACCAACCCTTTTCAGCTTGCGTTAGAATATAATTTGCTACATCTTCAATATCAGTATCACTTAGTCGTCCACCAAATGCAGGCATAGCATTTTTACCGTTAGTAACTTGATAAGTAATAGCTTCAACCGTGTTAACCTTATTAGCTTCTAAAGATTCTTTTTTAAGAGTTTTTTCAGGCATAATTACATTATTTCCTCCAGTATGACAAGCAGCACAATTTGCAGAAAAAATTTGTTCACCATTACTTAAATCTGCTGCGAATGCAACTAGTGAATTACTAAATAAATTACTAATAATAAATAAAATTAATATAAATTTCCTTTTCAAGTTTATCTCCTTATTATTATTTTAATAATAAATATTGTTCTTATATATTATAATACTCAATTTATTTATTTATAATTTAATAATAAACTTTACCTCCTCCCCATTTCTCTGATGCTATATTAGATTGTAATAAAATATGACCAGCGATAGCAAACAAATCATCATCTGTCATATTGCGCATTTTAGGAAAAATATCAGCACTTTTTATACTTGGATGAATTTCAGCAATTGATTCAGTTCCGTCATAAGTTGTAGGATTTTTCATATAGTCTATTAAAGCTTCAATATTATCTCTCTTCGGAGTTGCTGATTGTAAAGATTTGATATCTAGTCCGATATTAGGGTTAGTCTTAGTACCACCACCGCTGTGACATTGTGCACAATTACTATTAAATAAGCGTTTACCTTTTTTTACTTGTTCTGTTGTTAATGTTATGGTTTTGCCATTTTCATTTAATAATACTGTTCTTGATTTTTCATCAAGATCATTCGCAGATGCAAGATTTGCATTACTAATTATAATATAAATTATGGACAAAATAGCAATCTTAAAATTAAAGTAAAAATTTTTTTTAGACATAATATTAAATATCCTTAATTATATATAGCATATTATGAAATAAATTTTTATTTTAAATACAAATTATATTATTTCATAATTATAAAATTATTTTTATAGAACTACCTGACAATGTAATCTAAGTAATTGATACAATTTATTTTTTAATTCAGTTCGTTGTATGATTAAATCCACAAAACCTTTCTTCCATAATAATTCAGCAATCTGAAAATCTGGAGGTAATTTTTGTTTAATTGTTTGCTCAATAACTCTTCGTCCAGCAAAGGCTACTACAGCTCTAGGTTCAGCTATAATTATATCACCTAACATACCAAAACTAGCTGTAACACCACCAGTAGTAGGAGAAGTTAATACAGAAATATATAAAAGAGATGCATTTTTGTGTTTAGCTAAAACTGATGAAATTTTTGCCATTTGCATCAAACTTAAAATACCTTCTTGCATACGAGCGCCTCCAGAAGCACAAAAGATAATTACTGGTAATTTATATAAAGTTGCTTGCTCTATAAGGCGAGTAATTTTTTCACCTACAGCCGATCCCATACTTCCTCCCATAAATCGGAAATCCATTACAGCACAAGCGACCTTAATACCATTAATTAATCCAATTCCAGTTTCCACTGCGTCTTGCAATTTAGTCTTTATCTTATTTTCTTCTAATCTAGAATTATAAGCCTTAATGTCGTAAAATCCTAATGGATCAGTTGAAATTAGATTAGTATTTATAGGAGTCCAAGTATTTTGATCTATTATTTCTTGAATTCGCTTATGGCTAGGTAATGGAAAATAATAATTACAATAAATACAAATATATGATTTTTTTTCTAATTGTGCTCTAGGTAAAGTATTTTCGCAGCAAGGACATATAAACCAGATACCTTGTCTTATTTGAAGTGGTTTTATTTGTTTTAGATTGTGTAATCTTTTTGTTGTTCTTATTGAATTGAGTTTTATCTTGTTTCTAATAACACGTTGAAAGTCTTTAATAATATTATCATTGTTAATATTATCTAAGCCATTACTCATACATATTTAATTATCATAATGTTTATTATAATTATAATATAATTTAATTTCTTATTACTCTATCTTTATAACTTACATAAATAAGCAATATAGTAATTGGTAAAACAACTATAATAAAACCTAGAAATAAACTATTGAAAAAATTTAATAAAGAAGATGTCATAATAAATCCTTCAAAATTTTATATTAAAAAATCTATAGAAAAAGTTATAATAATATATTATTATAACTTTTTCTATAGATTTTTTAATATAAAATTTTGAAGGATTTATTATGATATTACTGATAATAGTATAATTATATATTAATTATATATATAGAGCGGTTGTGATGAAATTGGTAACCATGTACGCTTGAGGGGCGTATGGCTTTAGGCCTTACGAGTTCGAGTCTCGTCATCCGCATATAAAAATTATATAACCCATTAATATATAATAGAAACTAGATTGATGCTACTTACATGTCCTCTCAATTCAATTCTATTATAGACTAATGGGCCTTAACCAGATTATATCATATAAGTTAACTAATTTCAACAAAAAATTAATTAACTTAATATTGCATTACTAAGATAATCAAAATATGGAATAATTAAATCTTTTTCTTCGCTCAACTCAAAAATATTAATACTTGCTTCTTTAAGACATTTAATAGCATCATACATTCCAATAATAGGTACACCCAAAGAGTTGTACATGTCTTTCACACCAATAATACCGATTTTCTCTATAGGTGTTATATCTCCTGCAAGAATTCCGTAAGTCACTAAACGAAGATACCATCCATAATCTCTCAAGCATAAAGCCCTTTGTTTAGGACCTGAAGCATTACCTCCAGAAGAAACATATTCAGGATGGAGTTGAAATAATTTTTTGCTTGCATTTTGTATAATATCTTTTTCTCGTTCTTTTAATTTATTTATAATATTAATTCTTGTATTTGCGGTATTAAAAAAATAGATTAAAGTAGATAACTCACCGCCATTTGGATAACGTAATTCTTCATCAGCTGTATTGATTATTTGACTGATTAAACTCATAAACTAAATCATAAAATTATATTAAATAAATGTTAATCTTAATTACTTATTTTAAAAAAATATTTTTATTTTTTCCATTATAATACTTCTTAACTATAAGCAAATAAGGACTTAAACTTTGAGTAAAGTTTAAGTCCTTATTTGTTTATAGTTAAGAAGTATTATAATGGAAAAAATAAAGCATCCGGATATAAACGATTGAACTCCACGATTATAGCAGCTGTAATAGCTATCCAAATTACTCCCAAAACTGGAGCAGTAGACAAATACTTAAGTAAATCTTTATTCATATTTATTTATCACTATTTTATTTATTACTATTTTTATTGTTCTTGTATTCATCTAGGAGAAATTGTAACTTCACTATCCTTCATTAATAGGTCTCCCTTAGTATATTCTCTGAGAGCGGACAATGGCCAAATAAATCCAGAACTCATAAATTTAAGGGCTAACGGTACATCGATTATAATTTCATTTTCTATAGCTTTGTTCGTATTTTTTATAGCAGATAAATATCCTCTACCAACCCAACCAATCCATCCACTTATATATATAAAAAGTAAACTTGGTATAACAAATTCTCCAGCATGACTCCATCTTCCATCAGCTATTAAATGTGGAAGCCCATCTTTGCCGCATAATACCCCTGATTCCATATATTTATGAAATCTATTATTAGTTTTATTAATTGTATTTTTTATTGCTAAATAAGAACTACTGCCTACTTCATATTTACTTAGCTTATTTTCTAATTTTTTTATTGTTGACTCTAAACGTTTATTAAATATCTTTGATTCTTTACAAGGGATTAAATTATTGAATTCTGCTTGTACTAAATTATTAGTACTAAATGACAAAATACTAGAAAATAAAATTACATATAAAATAAATCTATTAATTTTCATCATTTCTCCACCTAAATTAGACTCTAATAACTAATATATAATAAACTTTAGTATAAAAATATATTAATTAATATAAATTAAAATTTGTAACAAATTAATTTATCAAAAAAAATAACATAAGTATATAAAGGGAATAATTATTGTGTTAGATGATACAACATTAATTATAAAATCAATTCCTTTCTCCAATAAAGAAATAAAAGTTTTTTTCAAAAGAAATACTATCCTTGATATAAAAGACTTAATATTACTCTACAAATCTGTAGGATGGCAAAAAAATTCGGTTAATAAATTACAAAAACTAACCAAAAACAACTTATTAATAAGTTGCTTTCTAGAACTATCTACAGTTAAACTAAATTTAATAGGTTTTGTACTTGCAAGTTCTGATTGCGAATATTATTCCATAATATGGGATTTAATGATAAATCCTAAATTTCAGAATCTAGGTTTGGGGACAGAATTAATATCTTTAATAATCAATGAAATAAAGAAAATGGAGATTAATAACATAATACTATTTGCTGATGATGAAGTAATTAATTTTTATAAAAAATTGGGATTTGTAATTGAACCGAATAAAACTAAAGTACTATTTTTATCAAACTAATTTTTTTATATACTATATATAAATCGTTATCTCGGGATGTAGCGTAGCTTGGTAGCGCGTCTGCTTTGGGAGCAGAATGTCGCAGGTTCAAATCCTGCCATCCCGATGTTAACTATTTTATTCGATTCAGATTTTTATTTGCAAATAATTTATTCAGTCTATCAATAGCGGTTTTATTTTGATTATCATAAGATAAAACAAGTTGATATAAATCAATTGCTTTTTTTATATCATTTATTTTTTCATAAACTTTTGCCAAATTATTTATGGATATGATATAATTAGGCTGTATTGCAATACATTTTTCAAAAAATTTAATAGCTAGATTATATTCTTCAATATGCATATAAACATATCCAATACTGTTATAAATTTGTATAAGTGGAACTCCAGCATTATCCTCATAAGAATTATAAGACTTAATAAAAAAGTCTAGAGCTTGTTTTAGACAAGCCTTATCTAGATAAACTGCTCCAAGAAGAAAATAAATATAGCAATTATTTTTATGATTATTACTTAATAAAGTATTTAATCTATATATATAAAATTCTTGTTTTATGAATTTAAAAACTTGACTATAAATCTTTATTATAAAAAATAGTAATATAATTATTAATATAGACAAATAAAAAAAAGAATTATAATTTAATATCATAACTTCTATAAAAATATAAATTATATAATAATATTTCTTTATCTAATAAAATGCCCTCATCGTCTAGAGGCCTAGGACATCTCCCTTTCACGGAGGTAACGGGGATTCGAATTCCCCTGAGGGTATACTAGTAATATTTACTACTATATAAAATATATTAAAAAATATATTAAATAGATTCTATCATTTTATTTAGAAAATTTTTAAAATCATTTAATTCGTCAGATTGAGTAGATTTAGATATTTCTTGTATACAAGCACTACCAATAATTATTCCATCAGCTCCCCAAGCCTTAATTTGTTTAATATGACTAGGTTTAGACACGCCAAAACCTATTACTATTGGCTTAGTACTGTATTTTCTAATAGTTTCAATCTTATCTTTAATCACATCAGAAAAATTATCCCTTATACCGGTCACGCCTGTACTACTTACCAAATAAATAAAACCATTTGCTTTCTTTACAATTGAACTAATCCTACTTTCTGTACTTACAGGAGAAACTAACATATTAAGATTTATTTTGTATTGTTGGCATATCATTAAAATTTCATCAGCTTCTTCAATAGGAAGATCAGGAATAATTATTCCTTTAACATTTAATTGATATAATTTGTATATAAAATTATTTATTCCATAATGTAGTATTAGATTAAAATAGCAAAATATAATTATAGGAATTGATAACTTAATATTTTCTAGTATTGAAAAAACATGATTTATTCTAAAGCCCCTATTCAGAGCTCTCTGAGCAGACGCTTGCATTATAGGACCATCTGCGAGTGGATCGCTATAAGGTATTCCTAATTCTATCATATGAGATCCACTCTTGTCTAAGATATTTAATGCTTTAACTGTTGTTTCTATATTGGGATCACCTGCCATAATAAATGGCATTAAAGCAATTTTATTATTAGATTTTGTTTCTTGAAAAATTTTATCTATTAATGACATATTAATTATAACCTATATATGAAATATTATTGTATTAAAGATAAAATAATAATACTTTTAGAAATATTTTTATATGATATAAAATATAGGCTGCCCGGGACTCGAACCCGGAACTAATCGGTTAAAAGCCGAGTACTCTACCATTGAGTTAGCAACCCTAAAGTATGTAGAAAATAAGTTATTCTATTTATTAAATAAGTTTATTAATTTTAATATTAAATATAAAATTTTTTATATAATTTTAATGATTCAAAATACAGTTATTAATAAAATTATTAATAAATCCTATTTACATAAAAAGTTTTATTTTACTCTTAAAGAAATTCAACTCTTAAATAGTAATACTTGTTTTATTCTTTCTATTTCAGGAGGACAAGATTCACTTACTCTATTGAAACTGATTTATGATTTTGCTGATATTTATAATTGGAAAATTTTGCTAGTACATTTTAACCATAATATTCGTTGTGATTCTAGACAGAATGCAAATTTAATTAAAAGATTAGCTAATAAATTTAATTTAAAATATTATTTATATAACTATGATGGCATCTTTACAGAAGAAAAGGCTAGATTATGGCGTTATAGTAACCTAATTAATCTAGCTATCAATAAAAAATGTAGTTATATTCTTACAGCACACACATTGAATGATAAAATTGAAACTTTATTTCTTAACCTATTTCGTGGAAGCAGCTTACAAGGAATTTCTACTATATCTTCTATAAATTATATCAAGGGAATTATAAAAATAATTAGACCAATTATTAATTTTACTAGAGAGGATACTTATTGGTTTTGTAGATGCTTTTATTTGCCTATTTGGCTAGATTTAACTAACTATAAACTTGATTTAAAACGTAATCGTATAAGAAATGAAATCTTACCCTATATATCCTATTATTTCAATCCTTTAATTTATTATAAATTATCTGATATAATTGATATTATTTCAAAAGAAAATGAATATTTACAATGGCTTATGTACTCAATATATAAAAAAATATATAATTTTGATAATAATGGCTTGAATATTGATTTATTTGATAAATATCACATATCAATTAAAAGACGAATTATACAATTCTTATTTAAAGAACAATTTGATATTTATTTAAACTTTGAAGAAAATAGCAAGATACTATATTACTTAAATAAAAGAAATTATACAGATTTTCGTATACAAGATAAACAAATTTTTCTATTTTTTGCTTATGAATGGGTATTCATAAGAACCGGAGTATATGATACAACAAAAAACATTATAGATAATTTAATTAATGAACATCATATTTGCATTTTTATAAATTCCTATCGATCTATTATAAGTAAGAAAATTATACAAATTTTTGATAATTTAAGTGTAGATTATAAAATAGTTAATCTATTTAAAAACGATATTTTATGTGAGGCAATAAAAATTTATTCAAATTCTTCTATAATACCTCAAATATATGTAAATGGAAAATTTATTGGCGGATATGATATTATTTTTAAACTATATTCCAATGGTAAATTAGCAAGTATATTAAAATAGTATACAATTTTCATATATGTTGGCTAGATTAGTATATAATATATTATTATATGTACATGAGATTATATATTTAATAAGTAATACAATATGATAAATTGGCAAGTTATTGGGCAATTAATAGCTCTCACACTGATAATATTATCAGGGCCAGCAATTATTATGCTGCTTTCTTTTCGTAAAGGTAATCTATAATAACATAATAAGAAAATGATAATAAGGGCTTTCAGCCCTTATTATCATTTTCTTATTATGTTATTATAGAAATTTCTTGTTTTTGACTAGCAAACTCATTATTAGAAGTCAGAAAAAGCATACAATGACATTCTTTTCTTTCTCTCATAGGAACACATGGACAATTCCAATAAGCTGCTGAAACTTCTACTGATTTATTATCATAATGCCTACATGGACACAATGGAGCACCATACTCGGCTTTATGCTTAGCTAACCCTTCAATAACAACTTGAGTGACACTTGGGTCTATGCAAAAAAATGTGCCTGTTCTTTTTGCATAAGTCTCAGCAAATTTAATCATAGCATTTAAACTTTCTCTATGCATAGTATTTGTATTTGGATTAGACTGAAAAGAATTATTTTGCATAAAATTTATATATTATAATATTATGTTACAAATGTATATTATATAACTTGGAAATAGAACAGAACTGGCGAAATTGGTAGACGCGTTAGATTCAGAATCTAATGATTTTAATTATAGTTGTCCGGGTTCGAGTCCCGGGTTCTGTATAAAATATGAAAATTTGTAAAATAATGATATTATATAATAAAATAATACAAATATATAAAATATCTATTTATCTATTTTAGATCTAATATTATAAAGGTGTAAATTTTAGTATGACTGCATCATATCTTCCTTCAATACTAGTTCCGATTATAGGTCTTGTATTTCCATTTATTAGTATGACG